TTCTTCTTTGAGCAGAACAAATTCTTTCTTTTGACTGTTAGTAATCCTTGGTAACTCAAAGCTTGAAGAATTCAAGAATCTGTTTGTCTTTTCTATGTAATCGTTTTTTTACGGCGCTGTAGCAAAATGAGAAGTTTTGCGTTTCACACGTGCGTATTTCTTGCCGTGCAGAACTCATACCCTTGAGCATACGTATCCATTCGAAGTGCACAGGTACCATATTCTATAGTAGTGTTGTATAAGGGAAATTTAAACGAATTTTTGATGTCTCCAAGTCAGTTTTTAGTGCACGACCTCATAATCATATCGCTTAAGCATTATCCTCGGCAATGGATTTGAGAAAGTTTAATTATTATGCACTTGATCTTGTCAATTGAAGTTCAGATGTAAGTCGTACATCAGCCAACCGCTTTGATTCGGTCATCGGGAGCATAACCCCTTTTTTTGGATTGTACTGTAGTAATTACTTATAAGCGCATATGATGCAGAGGTTAGAGATGTTTTACGGCATCATTGTGGTCGACCAATCCATGGTTAGTGATGCAATTCTGCGCTGACGACTGATCAAATCTTCCTTTCCTCCGGATTCGTTAAATTTGCACCACGCTCGTTTGAGTCGATAGTGGCACTGACTTTGTATCGGTAGACTGCTGCTAATAGTGGCCAGATATGCTTTCAGTCAGCTCAAATGATGATGAATGAAGATGAATGCATCCTTCAAGGATCAATCAGTGGCGGAAACTTTACCGTTTATCCTTTTAATTTTTTTAGCCGTCTATACCATGCGTTGATTACAACTTTTCTCTCTTGATTTCAAAATTTTTTAATCAACTGTACTTGAGACCTCTCTTAAAAATTCAATATAGTGTGATAAAATGTTTCAAGCCTTCTAGAAGTCTAGTCCGCCACTGGCTTACTACGTTTCGGCGTTCCCGAACGTCTCTTCCGAGCACAGTGCCCTATGGCTTTTCCCTGCTGATAGCAGCGGTGCTGGTGATATATTTGTCAAGACAAAGTGAATAATAGTTGATGTTGCCTTCCAGAATGATTCAGTCGATGATTTACATGTGAAGTGCAATTTTCGTTTTTCATTTGCGAATTGTTTCTCCACTTTGAAAGAATGTCCAGAGAAAGCATATGTCTCTGATATTACAAGATTGCTGTACACGTGCAAGTTGTTTTTCGGTTTCCACCGAAGTGATAGTAAAAGTGCGCGGCCTGTGTAGAACATAATTTTGTTATGAATGCTACGTTATATATGGGTCATTTCGTAGGGGAGCATTTGAATAACTACTAACACTCTTTGAAAATTGTTTCAGCAAAAGGGGAGCTTCTTCGCTTGTTGCCTTATAACAGAAAAGAACCATTTCTTCACTGTGCGAATCCTAATATTCCTAGCATTAAATCTTTTTTTTCAAATCTCTTTACAGTCGTAGAATACTGTTTGAGCACGTCTCCTTACAACCTCGGGAATTGACTACCGATGAGTGTTGGGGTGGAGGGACTGGGGAGGCTCTAGCCCACGCTCGCGGTTACGATTATCACAATCACTCTGCCACGACACCCCCCCCCCCCCCCCCAGTTAGTTGGCAAAAGTGAAAAAATAAGAGTTTGCGATTTAGCAATACTCCAGTGAGCTTCGTAATCGGGTCTGAATTGTGTGTCGTGGTAAGGGGTTCTTGAGATTCTCTTTCCAGTGGCTTTCGTTCGTCTTATTGTGGAATCGCACGAGCTACAGGCATCCAGAACGTAACGTCCGAATTTGCGAAACGCTGCAGTGAAGCGATAAAGGTAGACCTCAAAGGCAGACGAGCAGCAGTTATGGCAGAAGCTGTAAAAGCTGGAAGAGCAATCATAAAGCCAAGCGAGGCTTCGCCATTTATAATACCAAGATGATTGCACTCCGATGCCCTAACAAGACACTTACAGCTTCCACAAGGGCAATGGAGAAAATCATCCACAAGTACTACTCGGATCCTTTCGATAGCAGCTTCAATAGGTCTTCAACTTACTTACTGACTTACTAGCTACTACTCTTCAAAGGCAGATAGGTCAACGTGGAATCGCACGAGCCATATACTAGCGAAACATCACGTCCGAATTTGCAAAACTCTGCCGAGAAGCGATAAAAGAAGATCTCAAGGAGAGAATAACAGCAGTTGTGGCTGAAACTGCAAAAACTAGAAAGACTATTCGCAAAGGCATCAAAACTTCGCCTCTATAAGACTAAGGTGACTATAATCCGACGCTCTGTCGAAGCGCTTAAGGCTTCCAGAAGGGCGATAGAGAAGATTATCCACGATTACTACTCTTTGATATCTATGTCCTCTCGTCGTCATATCAAACGAAAGAGGACGATTTGTTGTTCCACCGATCCTCCATTTCAAAATCCGACATGCTATATCGTCGGTGAAGAATACAACAACACCCGGTCCAGAGAGGATTAGACCAGAGCATCTGAAGAATCTACCGCCAGCTCTCAACAACACCCTGGCTCGACTGTTCGCTCTTTACCTGTCAGAATTCAAGGTTTCTAGTCAATGACGAACCGGCAAAGAGCGTGCTGTTGTTCAAAAAGGGAGACCCTGAAGGCATAGACAACTACCAACAAATCTACTTTCGATCAGTTGTCTCTAAACTCTTCACTCAAGTCATCCCAAACAAGATTGGCAAAACACTGTACAAAGAACAGTCCACGCCAACGAGCAGGGTTTCGAAAAGGATTCAATACCGTATATTACATCGACACGATCACAAGACTCATTAAGGTTTTACGAGAGTACAAAAGACCGCTCTTTCTCACTTACATCTAATTGAGGTAAGCTTTTGAATCAGTGGAAAGAGAGGCTGTTATAGAGGCTTTCAACGCGCAAACGTCCCTACTCGATATATACGATCGTTTCTGAGTTATGCAAGGATTTCATATTCAAATTATCGCCATTCTATTGGGATTTTAATATCGATGTAGGAAGAGGAGCTTGACAAAACGTTACAATCTTGCCAAAAATTTTCATTGCCGCCTTCTGAAACGTCATTCAAACATCAGATTAAGGCGATATGGAAGTGGAAGTCGGCAGTCGACAAATCATCTTCGCTCCGCTGATGATATGGTCCTTATAACACGATACATCTATCAGGTGGAACGATTGTTGACCGATTTCGACAGCACCTGTGGAAAGTTTGATTAACGACTAAATCGAACTAAAATGATGATCATAAGAAATGGATAAGTGTTTGATGCCCCATCACTGTTAACGAAACGAACATATCCAGATGCTCCAAATAGCTCTACTTAGGTCGTGAAACTTACACGGTGAACGGTCTAGCCCAGAATTGAGCAGGAGGAAACAAGCGGCTTGGGAAGCGTTTAAGAGCATCGAGGGCGTCGTAGAGAAAGCGAAAAACATCCGATTCTGTGCCCACCTTTTCGACTGGACGACGATCCTCGTCTCAATCTATGTAGCAGAAATCTGGTTGTTTCGTAAGCAGGATAAGAGATCACTTGGCGTGTTTGAACGAGCAGTCGAGAGATCAAATGCTAGGAGTTTCCCGTATATCACAAATGACAGAAAGGATCTGAAGTTCTAACCTTTGTTATCAGTTGGGGGTCAAGGATGTCGTTCTACACGCGAGGCCATCCAAAATGAGGTGGGCCGGGCACGTGATGCTCTCCAACGACAGTTGATGGAAGACAGTGTTACCGACTAAATTACTTACTATGTCTAGCGCTCCCACCGGAGGAACAACGACGCGATGGTCGGATTTCTTCGCGGAAACCTTAGGAAAAATATATGATGCCCAGTGAATCCTTAAAGAAAGGAGGAAAGGAGGATCCACTTGGCTACTCTTGTAGCCAATAGGGAAAAATGAATCATATTGCTGCTGCCCGCTCGAGTCACTGGACGATCAATGGGACGACAGGTGACACATGACTAGGGGCTGGAAGAACGGGACAAGGGAGGAGGCTGCCCGTGGTTCTAACACGATGATCGATCGATCGCGCTTAGGCGGCTCACATGTGGATTACAATTTTTGTTATTCAACTAGCAATTGTTTCCTCCTCTTTGGAAGAAACTGCAGATAGGTCATGTGACTTTGATAGTCCAAGGTTTCCTATGCATGTTCATATGCTTTTCACACTTCTTTCAGAGTTATGTTGCAAGTGCGCCTGATAATTCTTGGTTAGAAGGTAACAAATGAAAACTGATCTCATTTGCTGGATAGGAGCTTTTCATCGAAGTATTAGCAACCATTCAAAAGCTGGGATATTGCTAAAGCCCCATGTCGCCGCTTTTCTGGAGCACCCTCTTATAACGATGTAGCATTCAGAAAAAATAATGTTCTATGCTGACAGCACGCCTTCATTTCTATATGCGTATAATTTGCTGGGAGCGCGAAAAGCGCATCGCGCGTGCAGAATTTTTCGTAGTATCACATTCTTTCGTTTTTATCCGAAGTTCTGTAGATGCTGTAGATGCGGCAAAAGTTTTCAATTGACTAACAATGTTTCAAACTCTACTGATCGCCCAGCCCCACCCCGCTCTGCCCCGTCCCTTCCCTCCGACCCGATGGACTAGCCAATACACAAGGTTGTCGAAAATGTAGACTTCAATCGATTTTCATTGCTAAACGGTACTTCCAAAGAAAAAGTACGACGTTGGAATTACTGGATTTTATGGCACTGAATGATTGCTAACAGTTTGAAGAAAGAGCTCTGTCCGACGAGGTGTGACGGACAAATTTTTTCTTTCACCTGCAGGGCTATCAAAAGAACTTTCAAGCAAACTCATCCTTCAAATCTTGTGCTATCGAAGGAATACTAGCAGTCTATGAAAGATGTTTTCCAACGAAATATAAGCGAAATAGGAAAAAAATTCTGGTTTTGCAAGACATCATTTTACTTTGTATTTTGCAGCGTTACAAAAGGGTGTTTTAGGAGTGTATGGTCTTGTGCCAAAAGTGATGGAGCCATCCACTATCACGTGCTCTAAAAAAGGTAGAGCCCAGGGCCGGAACCGAATCGGCAATGCTTTGATTACAAGCCAGATGCCTAATCCACTGGGCCACGCGGGCTGTGGTCCTGGAGGAAAAAACACTGTCAAGACGAATCAATAAAAGGCCTGCAGTTTATCAAATTATTTGATAAATGAGCAGCAGTAGATTTGACATATAGGGCACCAAACTCAGTACCTAAAAGCCTTTCTTGAGCCATGTAAAGGCACACTAGAAGTTTCAATCTCAGTTGTGCACAATCATTCTTGGAACTCTCACTATATTCATTTTTCAGCTCACTTTTCATTTTGTCCTTGCAGCATTGTACATTGAATCTGAGGGTTGATGAGAGATAATTTTCAATTTGAGGAATTCCATCGAATATGTCTAGCAGCGAGATACGAAATTAGTGAAGTCTGAAATCACATATTTGAAAAAAATGTTGATCTCGACGAATGATGTTGAGTGATGTGCGAAACTTTTGCGTCAGCCGGGACTCAAATCCGCATTTCATTATACTCGGGGCGTTTCAAAAGGGCTTTAATACAATTCTTGGTTTCTAAAAATTTTTTCGCACGGGACCTTATCGAAATACTTGAAGAAGTGGTAGTCATTGTGCGAGAGGTTTAGTGAGTATGGTAAAAGGAATAGACTTTCATTTTGCAGCACGTTCAATTTTTGCAGCGTCGGTACATAATGTGTCACCGCTTTCATTCTCCAGAATTGACCCCGCTCAGCTGGCTCATACTTGGTACAGTTCCCCAACTTATTGGTCCACTTGGTGGCATAACTGGATCTCTTGCTTGCAGTGATCTCCCCTTTCCGATTCGAAAGTGTGATAGTTGAAATCACTGGAACTACCAAGTGATTAGCATGACGCAATTTTGGAGAAGTTTCCCTCTTAGAGAGTGATGAGAGTTCTTTCACGGTCCAGCCACTCAACCGAATAAAAGATTCGAATTTCCCGTCCTGCGTCACAACATAGTTGAGAAACGAGTTGTTATCGTTGTGCTTCAATAGCATCGACGATATCTCAGAGTGGTGATTTTTCTGCCGTTTATTTCGTGCTCCATCACTTGTTAAGCTTCTCTCACTTTCCAACTTTTCTTGCGTGCACCGAAACAGATCAGATGTTTACAATGGCTTCCTCCCAAGTCCTTAAGCAGCTGTTCATGTATTTTCCCCTATCATATCTTTTAATTCATTGCTATCAGCGCCGGAAGGCCATCTTTGACACCCCCATCCTCACGATCGCATTTATCATGAGGTACTTTTTCAAAGCATCGTTTTGTACAATCTTCATTCCATATTTTCATGACGTTTTTTAACCACTTGCACTTTGTTCGAGTTTGAGTTACTAGTGTCTTTGCCGGAATGAGTGTTATAAGGTTCCAATTTCTTCTTTTTTTCACTTCATGGTTCAAGTATGTTATACGGGAACACATGAAGAGTCTACTTCTTTCGCTGGACGAGAATTTTTCGAAAGAATAAAAGTAGTCAATCGAAAGCTCAGATCGTTGGCTGGTAGACCATATGGACATTTTTGAAAAAGCTGTCCTATAACGCAGTATTAGAAGGAAAACATTTGTGTTTCACAAACGTACATTTTTCTTAACGCAGACTGCGCCGTGTGAATATGTGTCATCATTCGATAGTACGTTTCCACAATGCCTACGGTGCGTTTATTCTATGAAAGGACCGTTGCACCGAAGTGTAACAGAGATATTAAGACTGGGTTTCACATTTGCGAACATTATTTTTGTGCCAGTGTATGTGCTGAGGGAGGAAGGGCTGGTGCGTTGTTTCGATAAGACGTGTTACACAACTGGAGTGGTATTTTTCTTATTTAATTTGAACTTTTTTCTCCGCTTCGAAGGAAACTCCAGATTGAACGACTAACCCAGTTACCACAGATTTCGTCTTTACGTTCATATGGTTTGGTGCTTCTAACGAAGCAGTAGTTACAGCACACAATTTCATGAAAATTTCTTGTAGAGCGAAAGGAATTATTTTTTTCATTTGTTCGCGGATAACATACTTGTGCCCACTTTATTCCATCCGCCTCACAGTTTTCCACTGAGCGAAACCCCATTTCTTCTTGCACCCAGTTTGTTTTTCTTCCTCTTCTTGAACGTCGTAAAATGTTTATTGAACACGACGGCTTTCAATGAGGATAGCCCCGCTCTAGCGTTCCATAGGGTGCTCGTTGTTAATTGCCGGACATTGATGCGGGTCGAGAGCATCCGTGTGGCGATTGGCATCACAACCACTCTACCCTGGCCGCTCCCCTCCTCTCAGTAATATGTTCGGACCAAAATTCCGCAGGTAAGAGCGTTTCAATTTTTGCAAAGAAAAGGACGGGCAAATCCAAGCTCCTTTCTGTGATGAGATGATTTTTGAATTTGTCGTAAATTTTTTTTGATTACTGAGATTACCATTAGGTATCATTTTCCAGCACGGACCGCTCGTATCTATAGTATTTTAGTGTGTATATGGTGACAATAAAGACTAATTTTTGAAATGAAAGCGTGCTAATCAGGAAGACTGAAGGAGCTAGTGCAGCTTTTTTGACACATTTGTGGGCTTATACCAACTGAATATTTTCCCTGGGGCTAGAAACAATGTCGGCATAGCATTTGATTGAATTTGTTATCTCACAATGCGGGATGCATTCGCTTCTTCCATGCGTGGATCATTTTTTTCACACAGTATGCCTTATGACCTAAAAAGGATCTAACGGATTACGTGGAACTTATTTTTCTTTACATACTAAACACCTCATATTACTGGATGTTTATGCGTGTAGGATTGATAACCAAAAATATCGGAAACAACCGTAGCCCGCGTGGCCTAATGGATAAGGCGTCTGGCTTCTAATCAGAAGATTGCCGGTTCGACCCCGGGCGTGGGCTCACTTTTGCCAACGCGAAGTAATGTTATATCCGGTGGTCGGCCTAGTTGAAGCGATGGAATCCTGATCTTACTTATTACCGTTTCAATCAAGTGAAGTGCTTGTTCGAGCCAGTCAATTCGCGAGCATTACTAAAGGTGTAGTTGCCAATTATTGACTTGCGTAGTCCTATGGACAGTGTGTGCGATTTTTTATCAGAATATTCTAGACCAAACTACACTGTCTTACGTAATATAGCTTATAATGAGATGAGCCTTGACAGCGTAGAGATGTAGTCGTGAAGAAACAGAGTAGCCTTATTTTGGAGTGCTCTTTCTGATCTAGCTTCACCAGTTTTTTTCCCTCCTATAGCAGTGCAAACGGAAGGAGTTCCTGCGTCTCCTCAAATTTGTGAGCAACGACAAGTTTGTTGAACACAACTTTCATCAATACTAGTCACGGTTTCGCCTTTTTTGTAGCCTCGGAAGGTCAAGTTCACACGTATTCCATCCTCCCAGACACATATATGACCTGACCCATATAAACTTGATGCTAATAAATGCTCTTCTGTATTTCGGGTTTTGTTCCGTTATCTATAAACTCTTCTTCCATAACCCGTATTGATTTTTTTCGTTAGTGTTTGTAAAATGTTACCAATGTGTACTATTGCCTTATCCTTTTTCAAGCGTGCTAAAACGAGAACTCTTCGAAAACACGAATATTACCTTCATTAAAATTCATAATGTATATTAGCTGGTCACTAATACTACTTCTTACTATTACTCAGTTCCTCGGGAATTAGATAACAATTCGTAATTTTAGTTGGCGTGTATATGTTTGTGTAACGACGTCTATCGAATTCTGTGTTACTATGTATCAGTCGCATGCTTATTTCGTTCACTTTTGCTCCATACAACTGAATTGTAGAGAAATTGAGTTTTTGATAAATTTTGACTATTGCACTTCTTTTGAGATTTTCAGTATCAGAACTTTCGACATAAATGCTTACCAAATTTTTTTCACGAGCAGTACTAATATGATGTACTTTGAAGTACTCAAAACATTAATGGGGTTGGAGCCACGAAAATGTAGGCAAACGTGCAGATCAAAGTTGAATGCAAAAAATTTCTTTAAGAAATTTGAATTCGAAACTAATAGATGACGATAACACTATTCTTTTGTTGACTAATGAACTGAAGAAACTGTGGGTTTAAGCCTTCCATCAGGATCTAATAACATTCTTAAGTGTTCTATTAGATCTGTCATGGCACCTCTAGTGCTGACGTTCGTTTTGGCTTATTCCATCAAACCTCATCAGTAGCACGTGACCTTTCGGTTCAGCCAATCCCCTACATAAAAAGGATCAAGGCGACCATTTCAAAGACACGCCCGCTAAAATGAACGTTTACCAGTAGACGTGCCATATCATACCGCGTGAGAAGGTTGAAATATCTTATCACGTTATGTTGCTTTAAACGAGGTTTCAAAAACAGTCGATAGGAAAGCTTTATAATATACGTTTTGCCAGCCATCGAACAATCGACTGTCACTGCAATATCAAGTGATATTTTCACCAGGTGTGCATTGTAGGATGCAGATGTTAGGCGACGATTCCCTTATAGTGGGGGATGGACTGGATCGGAAGGCACGCGCTACTGATGAGGTTTGTTAAAATAAGCCTGAATGTACGCCTTGCACTAGAAGCGCCATGACAGATCTCATAGAACACTTAAGACATGTTATCAGATCATACTGTTTCGAGCAAGGTCTTAAGAACAGTCGATAAGAAAGGTACTCGAGATCTCTATATCAGAGACTTGACTGTTCGAGCCGGTGCGAGATTGGTAGTCGATGTTGTTGCTGAGTTAGTTTAGATGGCAAGACGAATCGTAGACTGACCAATCAGCGACATAGCCTTCTTGAGAGCCTAGACATACACTGTAACACTATTCGTCTGAGTCGATGATGGAAACGATGCCTAGGCAGCGCCCCTTTGATCAAGTTAGAAAATTAAATACACGCAACGTGATGTGTTATAGTGAGACATTCGCCCGTACGATTAATTTTTGAGCATTTAGCGTTCATCCAAAACGCTTCAGTAGTTATGCGCGCTTTCGTCTTGGATTCTTGTGCTAGAATGGTGACAGCGATTTCAAGATCATGACGGCCATATTTTTGTACTCTATGCGCA